GAGTTATTGCTTCCACAGAAAGAGTTGTTAGGGGCGGGCAGTGGGTAATTGGAACAGAATGATGAGGTAAGCCACTCCCTGTGCTTGGGGAGGAGTTGTAAATTTAAGAGTAGAAAGAGGCTTTGGGGGGAAGGGGCTTTCTGAGGCAATTATCTAACACATTTGACCACCCCTAGCTGCAAGGGAGGCTGAAATATGTTTTTCCTTTTCCCCTCAAGCTAAGTTCGTTACCTTCCTAAATAATAGTATCTCCTTCAGTAGGAATGCTGCTGGTTGACAGGTTATTTCACCCTATAATGAGGACGTTGGATGCTATTTTGGATGGAAAGCTATTTGTAGGCAGGTGGGTGAATCAGGAGTTCTTTTCTGTATATGTAAAATTAGGACTTGGCTATCACAACAGATTGTACCAATAATTGTTGTTATGGAGAACAGATCACAGGTGAAGGCCTCAGGGCAGTCTCATGCTGTCTGGGACCACCAGGGCTCCTATGGAGCTCTTCTCCTTTATCAAAAGGTTCCTTTTTAATAATACCATGTATTATTCAGTCTAAAATGCCATTACTTATAACATGTAACTTTATGTATCACTAAAGGAAAAAATATCTCCAATTAAGTTGATACAATGTTTTCTTCCAACCTACCATTTTTTTGTTTTTACTTTTGAGAAATAGTTCTTTTAGACTTATTAGGATATGCATTTTTAACCATACAGCATCTTTACACATACATAAAAGGAAAGTATTCATAAAATCAATTGTATAGGTATTACTAAAACTTTTGCCATCAAGAATCCAAGTCAGGATGCACAGATTTTTCTCAGTCTGTTCCATCAAGAGTAAGTGATACACTGTCTCTTTAAAAGTGTGCTCTACTAGCCCAGTGTGGTGGCTCAGCCTACAATTCTAGCAGTTTGGGAGGCTGAGGGGACAAGATTGCTTGAGGCTGGGAGTTTGAGACCAGCCTGAGCAAGAGCAAGATCCCAGTCTCTACAAAAAAATAAAAAATTATCTAAGCATGGTGGTGTGCACCTTAATCCCAGTTATCTGGGAGGCCAAGGAGGAACTGAGCCTAGGAGTTTGAGGTTGCAGTAAGCTATGATGATGCCACCACATTCAAGTCTGGGCAACAGAGCAAGACCTTGTCTCAAATAAATAAATAAGAAAGAAAGAAAAGAAAAAAAAAAAAATAAGAAAGTACTCTACTACTGATTTCAGGATTTTCTTCTAAGCTGCTGATACCCACATGGAAGTTGTGATGGGAGTGCAAGATAATGACAGCTATTCACGGCTGTTGCCTGGCAAACAGCTATACTGATATTAATGATGTTAAAATGTGTGTGGAAGGGGGGTGGTACAACTTATGGTAATGTACATTTCTACACACACTGTCATGCACAAGAGTCAGGTAGCACGGAGTTAGACATCTAGGCGGAGAAGACAAGGAGGTGGTGGGACGTGAACCTCGAGTTCAATGGAGTGACAGAGACAGTCATCAATGTGCAGACTTAGCATCCGTAAACGTAGGGATGACAGACATCTGCACACAGTTGCATGTGATCATCTAAGACTGGATGAAGAAGAGGGCCCATGCTGAGCCTTGGGATACGCAGATGTTTAGAAACCTAGATGCGGAGAACAGACAAGCCGACTCAGTGAGCAGCCATGTGGCCTGAGGACGACAGGGCAGGGATGTGGCATCTCTGAAGCTAAGGGGGAGAAAGATGGCCAGGTGCACTATGTGCCGCTGAGAGGTCGAATGGAATGCAAGTGGAAAAATGACCACTGAATTTGGCACAGACGTCATGAGTGACCTCATCAAAAGGACTTTCTGGGGTTGGAGGCCGCTGGGCCAGAGCCAGAGGAAAATCATATAAACTGGACTGGGTTTAGGAAGGAATGAGAAGGGGCGAGGCGACCAATCTCTCTGAACGGTTTTGTTGTCAAAGGCAGAGGTACAGCTAGAAGAGGCGGTGGTGTTTCCTTTCCTAAAGACACTGGCATGGGCATATCTGAATGCTGAGCCAGGAAGGGGCGTTCCACCATGCAGAACTTGGCTATAACTGCAGCTGCGAAGCGCCGGTGAAGGCGAGAGGGGGCGATCCGGAGCATAAGAATCAAGGGGCAGCTTTGGAGGAGTCAAGGGCCACCAGCTCCGAAAGAGGCCCGCAGAAAGCACGGGCACCAATGCGACCCGGCCAGGGGTCCCCGTGCCGCACCCCTCATCCCAGTACAGGATTTTAACGAATTCCCCCCGTCACCCTCGGGCGAAGACTTATTTCCACTTGGGACCTCGTTTCCGCACTTCATTAGGCGCCGCAGTGCGAGGGGACAATGACATTTAGCAGGCGGCCCCTTCCCGGCCGGGACCCCTTAGCCCCCAATGCGCGCACGGGTTTTCCCACCGCCGTCACCGTCGGACGAGGGCTCTTCTGCCTAGTGCGTTCCAGGCACTAGCCAATTTCACGCCGGACCCCTTTTAACTTCCTACGACTCCTTGCGCCCCCGCCTGCCTAGGTCCCGCCACTTCGAACCCTACACGGCCCGCCCCCGTTCCCCCTTCCCCTCCGCCTCTTCCGCCGCCGCCACCGCCCTTCGCCACACCTTCCACGTGGCGCTGCCGACTGCGCATGCTCTGTTCCCGGGACTAGCCGGTCCGACGGGGCGGGCGGGCCTCAGTGACGTCAGCGCGCACACCGCGGGTGGGCCGGGCCGCGCCACGTCGGCGCGCGGCGGCGGTGGCTGTCGGACCTGCGCGGCCCCGGAGCTCCAGGCGCGCGCACAGCTCTCGCCCCCCTCCGCGGCGCTCTCGCACACTCCCGCCGGGTTCCGGAGCCGCGTCGCCGCCGCCACTGCCCCAGCCCCTGGGAGCCCAGTCGCGCCATGTCGTCGCCTCCCGAAGGGAAACTAGAGACTAAAGCTGGACACCCGCCCGCCGGTACTGACTCATTTTCACTTTCTCTCCCTGCGCGGGTACCGACGGCGGCTCGAACCCGGGGCCACCGGGGCTCTGTGAGCCGGGCGGGGGCTCTGCGAGACAGGGACTCGGGACCGGTCCTGGTGCCCTGATGCCCTCGTGCAGGGGGCGCTCGGGCTGTAGCGATCCGTGCGGGAGCCGCCGTGTCACCGCACGAGACTAGCTGTGGTCGGGGACGTGCCTGCTCCGGGGACTTTAAACTGGGTCCCGCGCTGGTGAAGACTCGCCGGTGTGTAAAGTGCGGAACTGCATCCTTGTAGGAGTTGCACGCAGCTTAGGATGACTTGAGGAAGCCCAGTTGCACAACTTTTTAAAAACAAAGTTTGGCGGCTAATAGTTACTTAGAATGTGCAAGGATTTTCTTAAGAGTAACAAACAGTTAAAAGCTAGTGTTTTTAACATCATGGTAACGATTAATTATAGACTGATGGCATTTCATACTGACAAGAGCGAAAAGAATTTTTATCACTCATCACTCACTAGGACTTATTTTCACCCCGTTTCTTTTGCATCCAGGTTTTTCTCTGAAGTGCTTTTTCTTTTTTTAAAGCAAATCCTGAACTTTTAAGGCAAGGAAGTTAAATTCAGGAAAGAGCCATCTTTCTTAGAACATAGGAATCGGAGCGGCCTTGCTGTTGGTACCGTCTCCTCCCCTTTCTGGGCACAGTTCCTGCTTGCACTTTGGAGTCTGTTCACACTGGTCAATTTCCATTTCTGCTCTCCTGTCCCATGTCACTTGATCCATATGGTAGGATCCTGGCGACAGGATCAAAGGCCCTGGGTCCCAGAGACCAAGTTACCTCTGTGTATGCTTTTTTGAGGCCTTAATGGCAAACGAGTGTATAAACTTGGTCTTCTAGTAACAGAAACCTTAGACGAGCGTGGCTGCTTTTTGTGGCATATATGTGCCATTTTGTTACAGTAGAGATTCCTAGTGCCTGTAGGGCTGAATTCTCCACACTCAGTGCAGTGAAAAGGAGCAGTTCTTCAAAATGTTGCATTCCAGAGTAGGCAGTATTTTTACTGGTGACAGAGGTTCTCAACAACCAAACTGGCACTAGGAAAGAAAACTGGCTGATGCCAGAGGACTTACGAAGCATGGGGTTTTGGAAAATCATTTCCCTGTAGAGGGAAATAGGCTGGGAGGACTTTTGTGTTGCATTGGTTAAACAACAGATTAAAGGGACTTTCTGGCTAACACTTTTGACTCTACCATCCACCCTGGGAGGAGCACTTTTGTTACACTCACAGCTGGCCTGGCTCTACAATCCTGGGATAATGAGTTGCATTAAAGTGTCTGTTGGAATGATACCAAATCAAAGTACAGTAATTAAACTGCATACAATGACATTTCCATATGGAGATGTTTAAGATCAGAGGTATAAACCATTTCATATTAACCCCCTGGGAGAAATTTCCTGATGGACTCTGACTTTTCTTTGAATTGTAAACAGCCAGGCTTTGTGAATTACAAATTAAATAGCTTATTTTCGCCTGAGGGAACAGGAGACAACTTAGTTGTGCAGGCATCACACTTGGGTTCTGAGTTTTGAGGGTCTCTTCACACTTCTCTAGGGCTCAGTTTTCCTCATTTATGAAATTCAAGGTGTGGGCCAAAAGAGCTACCTCTGGATAAGTCTTGGGTGGGGTTGTCTCTGCTACGATGACTCTCCTTAGAGCTGCCTTGCTTCCATCTGTTCCTCTTAAGGATCAGGCCCCCATGGACAGTTGATCCTACAGGTAAACTTAAGTGACTTCAAGGCAGCTGCTTTGGTCTTTGGGGTCTTAAAACCAGCAGGAGCTCCTACCATGGCTGTAACTGCATTCAGCATTTCCAAGGCCAGTCAGATTTGGCTAGAGATACAGGAAGGGGCTGGCATTCTGGGACGTCAGGGGGCCAAGTGGAGAGGTGCCTTTGTAGGCTGCAGTATTTGTTAGGCTCAGATGCCCCTTCCCCGTGTTCCAGAGGACCCTGTGTGGAGGCCTTTTTTGGCATAAGCTCATGGTGTTTAGTCTGGCGTTGCCGGAGAGTAAGCAGTACTGCAGAGTAGATGGTTTTAAAAAAAAAAATAAATAAAAGGCAACCTACTATAATAAAGGATAATCATCGAGGATAGCCAGGAGCGCTGTTCATAAATCAAAATAACTGCCTTAAAAACGTTGAGAATGCTTTCATTAAGTGCTTAAATTAAATAACAGGCTTGTGCTTAAATCCTCAATCGGAAATAATAAAATTCTCTTATACTGCCTATCTTAATGTTCTTTTGTGTTTTCTCTTTATTGCTGTCTGGATTATATCGCCTCCCATGTATTCTGTTCACCCCTCATACCCCAGAGCACATTCTCCCACTTACTTCTCCCTGTCTCCTCTCCTCCTGCTGTTCAGGGCTGGGTCTTACTGATGCAGTATCTTTATCTCCAAGCCCCCCACATGTTCCCAAGTGATTTCCCCAGGGCCTCTTCCCACCTCTCACTGCTCCCCTGCCTGGCGGGTTGGCACCCTCCCTACCTCTGTGTTCTCAGCCAATTCTGGGAGCCAAGTAGTGGAAATAGTAACTGAAGTATCTGGTGTGTTAAGGTGTGCCAGCATGGTTCTAAGCACTTGGCACTTTTAACTTATTAAATTAGCAGTCACCTGATTGTTGGGATATCAAGGACAGTCCTATTTTAAAAACCAACTAAACCCTTTGGAGCATCCATTGCCAACTCCATTGGGCCAGGGATTCAGGAGAAGGGGCTACAAAGGCCTTTGCCTTTGGAAGGGCAGCAGCCTGACAGAGAACGCCATCACTTGCCAGGTGCCTCCTCCCAAGGCGTGAGATTAATGAAGCACTTTGTAAAGGCTTCTGGAGAGTGTGTGAGAAAAGTGCTGTGTGGATACAAAGTATTGTTAGTTATGAGTGATGGATGGCGCTGCATCACACTGTGGCCAATGTGCTGCCGTCTGCGGCCCTCTGTAAAGTAATCCAGTCTTAATGATTTGAGACCTCACCACTGCTCTTGACTACAAAATATTTGCAGAGAAATGGGGTGAGACCGCATGTTTTATGAGCATTATGGCAAATACAGATTAGCAAAGTTAGAATTAGCGAGATTCTTTCTGTTTCATCTAACAGCAGTAATAGCATTCCGCATAATTATAAGGCATGCTATTACTCATTTCTGCCTGTCTTCGTGCGATTGTGGCAGTGATGAGGGTAAAATCTCTTTGCTAAATACATTTGGCTGGCCCTGTTCCCCTCCATTTCCCAGGGGGAGCAAAAACTGTGTGTCGGTCTAGTTCTCATAAATCCAACATGTGATAGCTTTGAAAGTTACTAATTTCACATGTGATTTTCTTTAAAAAGTAGACTTTACATCCTCTCTAGAACTGAATCAGATGGAAATATAAACATAGTTGTACTTATTGAAAGTAAAATGAGAAATGGACCACTTTGGTTTTCCTAGCAACTTAGAAGTAATTCAGTTCTCTGTTACATTGATCAGTCAGACGTGAGTTAAAGACATATTTCAAAGATTATAGGTAATAATTCTCCCTGAGTTATCTTCCAGCAGGAAGATTTCAGATTATCTAGATGGTTCTATTGCTTGAGACAGAAGACTAGATGTCTTTTCTTATAATAACCACGTAGTCATAGGTTTGCTGAGCATAGTCCTGGGATCAGCCAGTCACTGCCCTGAGATTGAAGGATACAGGTAAGAGGTCCCCTGTTGTTCCCCACATAAGGAAAAAAGACCCTTTAGTGACTGCATGTTTTTCAGGTTTTGTAGGACTGCTGTAGATTTCACCTCTGTTCTCTACCCCTTCTAGCATCCTGGGGACTTGGCTGTTAGTGAATGCTTCCTCCTTCCCAACTTCAGAAATCTTTTTTGTTTATACAGGGAATAATCACTTTTGGATAAAGTACTAGGTTAGTATAGAGTGGTCCTTATCACAGACAACCCACTGTCTCAGTGGCTAAACAGATTAAGGTCTGTTTCTCTCCTGGGTGGTCCTACAAGGAACCATTCAGAAGGCCAGAGCCCCTCTGCTGTGCGACACTGCCATTGCAAGGCATGGCTGCTGCACTGGAACAGAGTGTAGTTCATCCTGCCAGGGGCTTGATGCTGGAGCCTGTGAGTGGCATATGTTAGCATTAGTCTATGCAGTTTTGGAGTAGGGTGCTGGCCCCATATGCTGGAGGTGGTGGGTTTAAACCCAGCCCCAGCCAAAAACTGCAAAAATAAATAAATAAAGGAAAGATTTTTTTAAAAAAAAAGAAAATGCAGTTCTATTTTTCCATAATTCTAGAGGGCAGAAGTTCAAACTGGGTCTAAAAATCAAGATGTTGGTAGGGCTGGTTCCTTCTGGAGACTCCAGGGAAGAATTTGTTTGCCTTTTCTGGGGTCTAGAGACTGCCCTATTCTTCTGTCTCCAAAGGCAACAGTGTCTGGTGGTGTCCTCAGGTTGGACGCTGTGATGGGGACACTGTGCTGCCTTCCACAGTCACTTTTCCTCACACTGTTAGCCAGACCCAGGTACATGGCTCTGATTCCCACTGCAGGGGAGGCTGGGAGTGGGATTAGCAAACACCTGCCTGGTCCCCGCCTCACCCAGTCCCCAGTGTCAGGTTCTCCAGAGCACCTACCTCCTGGCAGTGGGTCCAGAACTTTTAGAAATTGGCCTCCCTATACTTGAAGCTGCCAGTGAAGTTGCCCCAGCACTGTTCAACTTGAGGGGTCCAGGCAGGTGTCCTGCAGGGTGCCCCTTCCGGTGCCATCACCACATAGCTGATATCTGGGATCAAAGCCAGATGTGGGATGGAACACACCCTGCTATAAAAGACGGAACCTGGCCTTACTAGCTCTGAGTCACAGCTCCATGGCCTGGGGCTTACCCTGTCTCCAAACCTCACTTCCACCCAGTGAGTGGGGCTGCCCCGTGTAACGTTAGGGCTGTATCCTCCTTTGCCATCTGTGCT